TGTGTGTCTGAGAATCATTTTCATTTCCACTGATGAGTTAAAACAATTAAAGCAATGAGTTAAAGATTTTACCCTTTTGGAATAAAGGCAGGCAGGTACAAAGGAAGGAGGGAAGAGAAGAAAGGAGGGAAGGAGGAAGGAGAGAGGGAAGGAAGAAAGGTGGAAAAGAGTGGGAGGAAGGAAAAGAGGGGAGAAAGAAGGAAGGGAAGATGGAAGAGAGGAAAGGAAAAAAGGAAGGAAAAGGAAGTAAGGAAGAAAAAAGGATATTTTATTTTTCAAGTTATATAAGCTTTTGTGTCTTCAGATTAAAAGAAAGAAAGACAGAAAACCCATCAGTTGCATTAATTTAATACTCTGATTCTGAATTTATTTTTGTTTTGTGCATTTGTCTTGCATGTATTCCTAGTAGAGAGTAAGGCAGCAATTATGGCCTATGATATGAATGCATATTAGCAGCAGTAAACATTACTATATCCTGGATCTATAGGATAAAATGTGGAAGAAAAGTCCTTCTGCAAGAGCCATGTTCATTCATGCTCAGAGCCAGCATCATTCATGCACTTGTTTCCTTTACAACTTTAAGGTCAGCATTCTCTCCCACCTATTAAAGAAAGAAAAGAAAAAAACACTAAAAAAAATTCTATTGATGAAATTACAAATCCAACTAAAAATGATGCCCCCAAAAAAGTTTTTCCCTCAAGGGCTTTTCTCTCATTTTTTAAAAGAAAGACTAAAATCAACCACAATTATTTCTTGCAATGACACTGTCCTCTTTGTCTGAAGAGATGAAGAAAAACAACCTAAGCCCTATCTCTTAGCTCTGCTCCACATGTGGGAGATGATGAGTTTCCATAGAGAGGACTAGTGTCATGGCCCCTTTTTCTTGGTTTTGTGAATCATTTCTGGGGATGCTTTGAGACACTCTTGAGTCTGGGTTGAGGCTGCCGGTTTTGAACCCAGGATTTCGGCCAGGCCAGTGTGACAGTCTCCCAGCCCCAGTGAGTGTGTCTGATGACCTTTGACATTGGAAGAAAAGCTCACCTCAGAATGAGGGGAGTATTTACTTATTGCATATAGAACAGCTAGAAATCCTGTTTACTTCTTTTGTTTATTTTTGCAAAAAGGATGATGATGATGAAGAGTAGCAGAAGTGTCGCATTCACCCTGATAAAACTCAAGTTGCTTTTTCCCTTAAAGATATGATAGGCCTGCCTCTCCAAGCATGAATTTTTGTCCTGTGGTATTTCATTTTAAAATCATTTTCTGATTGAAAAAAAAAAAAAGTGGGGCAGAGACATAACATCAGAAGTTCTCCAGTCATTGCCTTGGGGCCATAGGTCCCCTTTCCCCCAGTCCTACCTCCTCTTCTTAAAATGCCCAGGCAAATGTAAGCTCCATTTTTGTGGGCCGATGAAATGGATGCAGAACTGTTTCCAGCCTGGGAATGTGGCTGCCAATTTGGATCCGGTGTGAGTTAAAGCGGCTAAGTTATAAACCTCTCAAAAAATAGGATTTACAAAAGGGAGTGAGCATGAACCCAACCTCCACTGATCCAGCTTTGCCAAGGATTACTTTAATACGAAAAGCATACTCTCTCACTTTATAGAAAGAGATTACTTCGTTGTCCAACAAACAACAAATGCTGGGTTTATTTTGTATTATTTAAAAAAAAACTTTTAGGTTTTTTTTGTTGTTGCTTTGCTGATAAGGCACAATCTGTGATTCATGGGGCAATTTTTAAATTGTGTTTTGTGTGTGTGTGTGTGTGTGTGTGTGTGCATGCGTGCACGCACACGCAGGCGCTCTCACACACCAGGTGGACAGAAGTAGAGGAAGGTGGAGTTTAGCCCTATTTTCCCAGCCAGGTTTGTCTAGGAGTCTTGTCAGTCTCCCTTAACTGTTTCTCTACTGTTGTGGATGATGAAACCAAAAATGAGATAGGAAAGAAAAAGAATACAGTGTGCAAAATACGGCCAGTGAAGAAAATACAAAAAGGGGATGCCAATAGAAGAAAAATGAAGAGATTTGAAAACATACCCCTTGAGAAAAAATATTGGTAGTTGGAAGAAAGGGAAAATCACTCTGAAATTTCCCAAAGACCAGAAAGATTAGTTTTAATAATAATAAAAACAGTGTCAAAGCGTTCAACAGAAGGCAAGGCAGGACTAGGCAAAGACCTGAGTGACAATTTGGTTCATTCTGCCTTTGCAGGAAGGACTGCCTGCCTGCCAAGAAAAGAACCTGCCAAGTTGAGAGTGAGATGAAGGGACACTGAGAGATGAGAAGTGCAAAGCCCCTTGTCTCAGGCAGGCTGGAGAGAGCTGAAGAGAGTTTGGTACATTTCAAAATGGACTTCTGGTGCACCTGCACCATATTTGTGAATCGTTGTTGGTATTATTACAATTATATTGTACGCATTCACTTAGAAGTTTTTGAAGGATGTAGACAAGTGGAGGAAGGGTGAGGTAGAGTAGCATCTGAGGCTATTGCTCACAGTCCCCAGATGGGAAATCTGTTCTGTTATTTTAAATTTCAGGGATGCATTGAAGTCTTGGATGTTAATGAAAAGGAATCCACATGCTCCCATAAACTATACACACCCAACAAAAATGAGATGGCCAGGGTGATTTCTTACACTTACACTAACCCTGATCTCGCTGTCATAAATAATACTGCTGTTTCCTGATTTGGGGTTTCTTGTAGCATCTCCTCTCACCTACCCAGACAAGCAGGTGCACAGATGGCATATGATATAGAAAAGGAGACAGTTGGACAGATAGAGACAGAGACACAGGGGGAAGGTAGAAAGAAATGAGGGAAGGGAGGAAGGTAGAGGAAGAAAGGAAGGAAGGAAGGAAGGAAGGAAGGAAGGAAGGAAGGAAGGAAGGAAGGAAGGAAGGAAGAAAAAGAAAAGAAGGAAGGAGAGAGGGAAGAAGGGAGAGAAAGAGGATGAGAGGAAAGAAGGAAGGGAAAAATGAAAAAGAAAAAGAATGGAAAGATAGGAAAAGAGAAAGAAAAGGAGAAAGAGAAAGAGGGAGAGAGAAAAGAGAGCAAGATTTTTTAAAAGTCTGAGCACCCCCCCCAGAATACACACACACACACACACACACACATTTTAAATGAACTGCAATATTAAGAGCTATGAAAGTTACAGCTACAGACAAGGGGTTAAGCCCAAACCTGACATGTACCTAGCTCCATGGATTGCCTGTGAATCAGAAGCTCCAGGAGAAAGGTACCTACTGTAGTATGTGAAATGCTGGTACAGATTTTTTTTTCTATCAGTCTAACCTTCTGTGTTGATACATGAATGCTGGTACCCACTTACAGGGATGCCAGATGATCAGTGCAGAATGAAGGTCCCAAGAGAAAGGATCACATGTTTTTCTCTGCCCTGTGACGTCACTAGCAGATGGCATGGGTACCAGCTCTGGCAGTTGGCATCAATGTCACTTTTTAGAGATCAATGAGATAGTGCAGAGATCCATACCCAGATCTAGAGACTCCAGGAGACGATGCGACATTCGGACTGAAAAGATTTGGAAGACAAAAAAATGAACCCTGATTATTGAATGACATTAAAGCCTAAGGTAATAGAAATAAAGATCTATTTCCATGGAGGCTGGCTTTGCATGCAAGTATTTAAAGATACAGTCTCATTGTCTTGTATTAGATAGATGCTTATGATTACCTAGAACTTGTCTTGGTATTTCATTCTCATGATGTAATTCTTTCATACTTTCACTGCTATTATGTAACATTGTAAGTGTGGACATTACTAGGAGTTACTGTGTTTGTGTGTGTGTGTGTTTGTGTGTGTGTGTGTGTGTGTGTGTGTGTGTGTGTTGAGGGGAGGGGTCCGGGAGGGGGGTGGGAAGGAAAGGTTGTTCCTTTCAAAAGTCCCTGTTTGTATATCTGCTTGTTTGAAGACTCAAAATGTTTTCCTGCTCCTCCCAAAGAAAACAAAAAACTAAACCAAAAAATTGGGAAAACAAATTCTTTTCTGCTTTTTCATTCTGGATTCTGAACACACGTGCACAATTGCCGTCTGACTCCTCAGCCCATCGCTGTCAGATATTAGCTGGAGGGAGACTTCGGAGGCTAGTAGAACAAAAACCCTGCGAGACTGCTTTTGGTTGTGATCTTGTTTTGGTTTTGTCCAGGATGCTTTGAAAGCAGAAAAAGGAAAAACTACAGACCCAACATTTTTTTAAATGCAAAACCAGTTAAACTCTTTCCTTTTGAAAAAAAATTAAAGGACAATTTGATTTCCTATTATCATAGGGTCCATTTCAGGTGAACCCATTTCTTTCTTTTTTTTTGTAGCTGGAAATGGGTAACTATTTTTTGTACATTTCTTACCTAATCAGAAGGAATGTGTTCTTTTCAATTGTCTTGAATGGAACCATTGCCCTCTGAAGCCTTGCATTCCATCAGTAATTTGCCCAAATCTAAAGTTGTATAATTTAGCAGATAAAGTTAAAGGGTTGAGTGATGGAAACCCAGCATTTTCCTTTCAAAACAGCAGCAACAACCTGGTGCCTCCTTGCATTTTTGCACCCAGGGGAATTGGTTTAATGAAATTCTTCATTGCTATATCATGTTTTGCATTTGCTGGGATTCCACAGCAAAATCTGTGGGGCTAAAAGCTGGTTTAAAATGAAAGTAAATGAACAAGGGAGGAGAGGAGTGGGGAGCAATGTTTGGTTTGATTTTGTTTACTAACTGTTTTACTTCTTACTTCGGATCAATTGGTGTTATGTCAGCCTGAGCTATTGCATGGATCAGTGTTCCCATCATTTTAGTTTGCCCAGACTCAAATTCCTTTCAAATGCAGAAAAAGTATTCATTAAGTCAGTGTTATATTTTTAAAAACAGTCATTTCTGTGCATTTATATAATCTGATAATTAAGCAAATGCTTGTATATAAGTAGGAAATGAAAACACTTTAAATATTGTGCTGGCATTTTTTCAGGTCATTTAAGCTTGTAGAGAGAATCATGCTAACACTCCCATTTGATGAGTCTGTTGTAATGGCAGAGCCCCAGATGTGCAGAAAGTTTTCCAGAGAAACTGAGGACCAAAAGCAAACTAAGAAACCAGAAAGCTTTTCGAAGCAGATTGTGCTCCGAGGGAAACACATCAAAAGGGGCCCTGGAGAAGAAACAGAGAAAGAAGAAGAGGAGGATGACAGAGAAGAGGAAGATGAGAATGGGTTGCCCAGAAGGAGAGGCTTGAGGAAAAAAAAGACCACCAAGATCAGAGTGGAAAGGGTCAAGTTCAGGAGGCAGGAAGCCAATGCCAGAGAAAGAAACCGGATGCATGGCCTCAATGATGCCTTGGACAATTTAAGGAAAGTGGTCCCCTGCTATTCTAAAACACAGAAACTGTCTAAAATTGAAACTTTACGTCTGGCCAAAAACTACATTTGGGCCCTTTCGGAGATTTTGCGAATTGGCAAGAGGCCGGACCTGCTCACGTTCGTCCAGAACTTGTGCAAGGGACTCTCCCAGCCAACAACAAACTTGGTGGCAGGCTGCCTACAGCTCAACGCCAGGAGTTTCCTGATGGGTCAGGGTGGTGAGACGACCCACCACACAAGGTCACCGTACTCCAGCTTCTATCCACCCTACCACAGCCCTGAGCTCAGCACACCCCCAGGCCATGGAACTCTGGAGAATGCCAAGTCTATGAAGCCCTACAATTACTGCACTGCTTATGAGTCCTTCTATGAGAGCACATCCCCAGAGTGTGCCAGCCCTCAGTTTGAAGGCCCCTTAAGTCCTCCCCCAATTAACTATAATGGGATATTTTCCCTGAAGCAAGAAGAAGCCTTGGACTATGGCAAAAATTACCATTATGGCATGCATTACTGTGCTGGGCCACCCAGGGGTCCCCTTGGGCAGGGTTCCATGTTTCGGTTGCCCACAGACAGCCACTTCCCTTACGACTTACATCTGCGCAGCCAATCTCTCACCATGCAAGATGAATTAAATGCAGTTTTTCATAATTAATGAGGAAAATGAAAATAAACAGTGGTCATTCACCTCCCCCGTCTCAGTAAGACAAAGCAGATGCTTGGGCCCTGTGTAACTGGCACAACTCAGTTGACGGTGTTCCCTAGTTTCGAAAGTGTGGTTTCAAATATTGTGAAATTTTCTATGTAATAATAAATCTCTTTTCTTATGAGGACTTCTTTTCTTTTCCTTTTTTTCTTTTGATTTTTTTTTTTGTCCGTAAAGCACTGTGATTTTGTTTCTACTAGACGGTTGGGGGTTTGGGGGGGTTGGTCATTTGTTTTTCCATTTTAAATTCACTGAATTTGTTTGAACAGTATGTCTGGACAAATACTGTGGAATAAATACCTGCACACAGTCAAACTTGATGTCCATTTCGATTGTACAGTAATTAATGCAAATGCATGTTATTAAAAGTGGATAAATAAAATCACGTATTTACAGTTATTAGGAATTACACATGCTATAACTTGAAGAATCAGATTTTTCTTTTTAGATCCAGAATGTCACTAAGCTGACAATGAGACTGGAAGATGGAACTGAGGAGGAAGAGGAGGGTAAAAAAAAGTATTTTTAAACTGTGCAATTTTCCCTTTCTTAGGAGAGAAAAAGCACTAGTGGACTCAGAAATCATTCATTCCTCTTAAATGTTTGCAAATGGGACAGTAAGACATCTGAGCAGGCAGGCGGTGGCAGGGTTTTTTCGTCAGGCGTCTCCGCCATCCAAAATGCTCAGCCCTGGCTTGCTTTGTGTTTTCCAGCCTTCCCAAGGACAGCGTGTCATCTGGAGCCCTGTGTCAACTGTGTTTTCCCACTTCATATTTTTAAAGCATTTAAACGGAGATGTTCCACCTTTTGGTAAAGCACACCTATTAACTGCGATATTTTGCCGAGTATTTGTGATTTCAGGGAGCCCAGCTGCTGCTTTCTCTTTCTTCTCACAGAGACGCTCCTAATACATTTTTAAGGGGGGAAGAGAAGCTTTGGGTTTGGATTTCTAAACCCTAGCAAACAGAGCCGTTTTCCTGGAGCTCTAGAGGGAGGTTCCCAGGTAGCCCGGCTTCATCTGGGAAGGGCCGCCCCAGCCTTGCTCCACGAGATCAATCAGGGCCACTGGAGAAACTAGGCTGGGAGCTTTAGAAGCCCCCAGCTCCGAGGGGAAAGGGAGTCACGCCTTAGAGAGAGCCCTAGAGTGACGAACTAAGGCGAGGAGCCTGCCTCTGCTCACTTGGTTTTACGTAAGTCGGCCGGATGAGAGGCTGAGGTTAAAAGTTTTCAGAAAGGCCAAATCACAATAGGTTTTCCTCAGTCTCTGGACCCAGTCGCCCCTTCTGCTCCCCTACCCGTCACAATAAACATCGGTTGGAAATCAGCTGGCCCCAGTGACCCTTTTAGACTTCGTCCAGGTGTCTGCCAGCAAATGGTAAGCAAGACGGAGGCTGAGGGAGGCCCTGGTACAACTGAGAGATACGAGGATGGGCCCAGGGAGGGGCCGGGCAGGGGAGGACGGACCCCACCCTAGTCTAAGGCTGCTGCTCAAGTCCAACCCATTGGAGACACCAACTGAAGTGTGAGCAGCGCGTATCCTGGGGAAACCGAGGCACAGCCTCCAGGCGAGCTAGGAAATCCAGCCGACGGGTCTCTCCCCCTTTTTGCCTCCGCGGCTGCGAGGCACACAGACGAGAGAGCTGCCGCCCCGCTGGAGTGCTGCAGACGTCCCAGTGCTAGCTGCGGCGCTCCCGGCGTCGGGGTAGCGGGCGGGGCAGTGAGCGGTAGCGGCCTGAGGTTGGCCAGAGCTCCGCTCGGGAGAGCGGTCCCAGCTCCGGACAGCCTGGAAGAAGGGGGCTGGAAAAAGGGGGCTAGGCTGCCGGCAGGACGGGGCGGGCTTTGGAGGCGTCACTTAGAGCCCCCAGCCCAGCCCGCGAGGGTCGGAGGTGTGGGGTGCGGCGAAAGGCACCGAGCCACGGCCCCCAGCAGCCTTCCCTGGATTTTCCCAAAAGTTGAAGCTACCGGGGACCCAAGCTGCTTTCGGAGGCTCAGTCCGAATTTGGTGCCTTCGCTCGTCCCACCCAGGCGTCCAGTCTACCGCCTGGAGCCAGGGTCCCCCACTGGGGCTGCCGTAGCGGTACAGACTTCCCGGACCCAAAGGGCTCCTCCCCTACCAAAATGTGAGGCCGCGCCCGCCCCATGACCCGAAGGCCAGAATTGGGGTAGGTGTTCTCCTGGCCAGGCGTAGGGCTGCCCTGACGGGGTGGGCTGAGGCGGGGAGCGCTCCATGCTGAAGCGTGGGGCTCGGGGCTACCCGCAGCGGGACGCCGCGGGACGCACGGGTCCCCTCGCTGCCCGCAGCGGGACGCCGC